TTTTTTTTTTTTTTTTCCGTCTTTGCTATTGGTTGATTCCCGCTCTCGACTGCCAGCCATTTTCAGAACAGAGTCCCATACTGCCAGAGCATTTGGAGCATTTTGAATGATTTTTCAAGAGCCACAGAATAGTTTGTGCTATGACTATGTAAACACCGAACACAACCAAAGAAAGGGTAGACTCTCTTCTTTCATCAGGAAAAAAAATGTGTTTCTACCTTATTCCGTTCTTCCTCGACTTGCGTCTCACCGGCGACATGTTCTCTCATAGCGAACCGTTCCCTTTTTCTTATTTGCCTACAGTCTATGCTCATCTCCCATCAAAAGTGGCACTGCCCCCTAGAGGGTCAATTTGTTACTACATACTCTGTCTAGAAGCCTGATATTTACGGACAAGCTTTAGCAGATCGTCCCGCAGCCACTCTCGTTGAAAAACATAAAAGACGTCTATAGACGTCTTAGGCAGTCAATGAGTTAAAGACGCCGACCCAAGAGTAGGGCTGTCAAAAACATCGATACTAAGATTGTGTATCCGGATGAGATACTCATTACCACCCCCCTTCTTTCTGATATATTTATTCTTTATTTACGTTGTTTATGATCATTAACATGACGTTAGCCGGCGGCTAATGGCTAATGATAACACGCCAACGTTAATCAGACTGCAGGAAGCCAAGGATGGATATCCAACTCCCCCACCTCCAGGTCAGCCATTTTGATTAGGTCACCAATAGGAAGATCCCAGGCCAGAAAATCCTAAGAAAATTAAACTCTATACATAATATTATGTTAAAATAGTGGATGTTAAATATGTTAGTACAATAAGTCCAAACAAGTTTAACCAAAAAATATTTATTTCTCACAATTATGAAGGGTGGAGGGTTAGGTGTAGGGTTAGGGTCAGGGTTAGGTTCAGGGTTAGGGTTAGGGTCAGGGTTAAGTTTAAGGTTAGTTGTAGGGTCAGGTTTAGGGTTATTTATGGGGCCACCGGCCACCATAACATCAGTAACGGGTCAGTTTGAAACTAAACACACGATATCTTCCACTGATGTCACGTTTTGTATTTTTATTTTAAAACAAAGGCGATAACAAAAACTAATACAGATGAAAAAATGCCTCCTAAACGTTCATAAATCAAAATCTAAGGCTCCACATTGTAACCGTGAGGCACCAACCTTCCTCCTGCCGTGTCACTTTAAGAATGGCTACCTTGCAGAATTCAAACGCCATTAAAGGTCCACCAAGTAAAGTCCTGTAATTATTCTAAATTCACATTTTTAACCATGTACATATGTTTTAACTTAAATTATTAATGTCACTCATACTCATGACACATAATACGAGTAAATTCCAAACTAAGCATAAAACAGGCATCTGGCTAACACTGTTTTCCTCTCCCACCTCCTCTCAGAGGAAGATGGACTGTCGGGAGTACAGAGACGCCCAGCAGTTCGCCAGCGACGTCAGACTGATGTTCTCCAACTGCTACAAGTACAACCCCCCCGATCACGACGTGGTCGGGATGGCACGGAAGCTACAAGTGAGTTCAGTTTCTCTCTCATTCAGAGTTAAAAAGGAAGCCGAGCGATCAGAGAGAAGCCTTAATCTGCTTCCATCATGCTCTTATTCTAAAATATTTTCTTAACCCTATAATGCCAAATGTATCATATTTGATCCATACGGTTTCTGAAATGTTTTGCGTCTGACACCTTTTGCAGGATTTAATGGTAAAAACTTTTCTCAAAATCCTATTGTACACAATCAGACACACCTGATAACAGGGGGCAGAAGACTACACAAAAATAATCTTGACTTATCGCATAGTAATAAATTATTAATATCAAAAATTTATTTATCTTTTTTCTTTTTACATATTTTGTTAAAAGGCCAAATAAAGACTTAAAACCCCCAAAAAGTCATTTTCTGTTTTGTTTTATTCTTTTTGTTAAAAAGAGATGTTTTAAACATCCAAACAGCCAAAAAATTAAGTTTTTTAATAAATGCTGTTAAAGTAAAGTAAAGTAAAGATCAGTTCCTATTTCAGTTTTAGGCTGCATGAATTTAAAGTGGATGTTGTGATTGATTTAATTTGCTACTTTTTAAATTGGCGTTACAGAAAAGTGAAAAAAGATCTACGGATAAAATCATAAAAAAATGAAGTAGTATACTACTTAGGAAATTAGGAAGTTAATAGATGAGAACACAGTGAGGGGAAAAAAACTGAACAAAGAAACTAGATTAAGTCCAGTTAAAATATCGAATATAATGAAAGAAGAAAAATTTATTGGCAGAATATTAAATTATTTCAGTAACATTTCCGTCTAAAACGAAAGAAAGGAAGTCAAGTTTGTGTTTGTGTTGAGACCCTGCTGACAGTTACCCATAATGCCTTGCATGTGAACGTTTGATAATACTTTTTACTTATTTTACTCCTTAATGTTTTGTGTTTTTGCTGCAGGACGTGTTTGAGTTCCGCTTTGCCAAGATGCCAGACGAACCCCAGATGGAGCACGCCGCCATGTCCATGGGCGGACACCCCTCCTCCTCTTCATCCTCCTCTTCCTCCTCCTCCTCCTCCTCCTCTTCCTCCTCGGAGAGCGAGCCCAGCAGCGAGAGCGAGGACAGTCCCAGCACGCCCAGCTCCGACAGCGAGGAGGAGCGCGCCCACCGATTGGCCGAGCTGCAGGACCAGGTGTGCACGCAGGTAGGTGTCCAGATCTGCCCCCCCCTCCCAGGGGTCCTCTGCAGCCTGTAGGAGCCTCGGTTGGATGTCCGACTCCTCCCACATCCAAGTCGGGCAATTTTGATTAGGAAATGTGACTAGAAGATTTCTGAGGTGGAAATGAAACTTTACTGTCTATATGAAATCGGAAGATAAACGATGTCCTAAATCTAACCCTGACCGTAACCCTAAACCTGACACTAACCCTGACCATAAACCTGACCCTAACCTTAAATCTAACCCTAACCCTAAACCTAACCCTGACACTAAACCTAACCCTGACCCTAAACCTAACCCTGACCCTAACCCTGAACCTGACACTAAACCTAAACCTAAACCTGACCCTATCCCTAAACCTGACACTAAACCTAACCCTGCTAAACCTGACCCTGACCCTAACCCTCCACTTTTCATAATTGTGAGAAATAAATGTTTTTTTGGTTAAACTTGTTAGGACTTATTGTACAAACCTATTTAACATCCACTATTTTAACATAATATTATGGATAGAGTTTAATTCAGTGTTTGCAAGATTATTTTAACTATTCTTAAATGAATATCTATATTGCCATGAAGCAATTAGGATTTTCTTGCCTGGGATCTTCCTATTGGTGACCTAATCAAAATGGCCGACTTGGATGTGGGGGTGTTGGATATCCGTCCTTGGCCTCCTGACGTTTTTGTCCAGAGGGGCTTCTCGTGTAAAACATTTTTTCTTCCCCAAGCTCCGGGCGGTGCACGAGCAGCTGGCGGCGCTCTCCCAGGGCCCCATGGTCAAGCCCAAGAAGAAGAAGGAGAAGAAGGAAAAAAAGGAGAAGAAGAAAAAGAAGAAACTGGAGAAGCGCAGCCGGGCCGTCCGGAGCCGGGCCGGCTCCGAGGAGTGGAAGATGCCCGGAAAGATGCTGAAGAGCAAACCGGCCAAAGTGGGCGGGTCCCAGGCAAAGCGGAGCCAGGGCAAGAAGAGCAGCAAGGCCAGCAAGTGAGTCTCATTCCAACTACATGCACACTTCAGACACTTAGTTTTAACTACAGTGGGGGAAATAAGTATTTGACCCCTTGCTGATTTTGCAGGTTTGCCCACTTACAAAGAATGCTTGTTTTTCCTCATCAGATGGTTATCAATTTTTATAAATTCATATGATGTGATTTTCTGGAATTTTCTTTGGGATTCTGCCTTTCACTGTTAGAATGTACATATGATTAAAGTTATAGATCGTTGCATTGTTTGTAAGTGGGCAAACCTGCAAAATCAGCAAGGGGTCAAATACTTATTTCCCCCACTGTATATAGTGTAGATGACACAAAGGTTTACCCGGATGAGCCCCTAAAAACGGTCATCTCGCCGGTTGGGGGTGATAAAAAGAGAGGGCAAGAGAGAGAGAGAGAGGGGGCAAGAGAGAGAGAGAGAGAGAGAGGACAAGAGAGAGAGGGGCAAGAGAGGGAGGGAGAGGGGAAGAAGAATAGAGAGAGGGCAAGAGGGAGAGAGAGAGAGGGCGAGAGATGGAGAGAGAGGGCAAGAGAGAGAGAGAGGGCGAGAGAGAGCAAAAGGGAGAGAGAGGACGAGAGAGCGAGAGAGAAAGAGAGAGAGAGAGAGAGAGAGGGGGCAAGAGAGAGAGATAGAGGGCGAGAGAGAGAGGGAGGGAGGGAGGGAGGGAGAGAGAGAGAGAGAGGGTGAGAGAAAGAGGGGGAGAGAGAGAGAAGGGGCAAGAGAGAGAGAGAGAGGGTAAGAAAGAGAGAGAGGGCAAGAGAGAGAGAGAGGGAGGGAGAGAGAGAGAGACTACACAGTAACACATAGACTGGATGAAAAATGGCAATGATATTGA